GCTCTCAAATTAAGTGAAAATAAGGTAATACGTAGACTGATCATAGTTATGGAAATAATACCAATTAGAATCAATTAAAAGCTCGGACTCCCTTCAATTAAGGAGTCATAGTTCAAACGGGTACAAATTGTATCAAATAAGGAAAATTATTATTTGCAAGACTGGTATTTCCATAATAGGAGTAGTAAAAGTATACAGAATATTTCAAGTAAGGAAAGTATAAGGACAGCATATTGTGCACACAAATTAGTTCAAAGAATCACGGATGAAATTGAAAATCACAGGGAATCAGTACTAAGTAAGGAGAACATTTCACAAATAAGGAAGTGATTCAAAAATCAGTGCAAAACTTCTAAGGAAAACATATACAAATTCAGGGATTCGAAGAGATGCACAAAATCAGCAGAATATTTGGTAAACGATGAACAATTAGACCTATAAAACACAGTAGGCATGAAAATCAGAGAACCCTAAGCAAGAAATCACAGAATCAATAGAAGGCTGGAACCCTAATAGCAAAATTAAAGCATGAAACTCGGAGAGTAACCAGAAGATCACACCAACAAGCACATAACACAAACATAAACACATAATACTCAAAAAATCAGAAGATATAGTGATTTCGAAAGGGTTCAGGAAACCCTAGTTTTAAAAGAAGAACAAAACGTTGAAAACTTGAACAATCGAAAAGATCTAGTAGAGACTAGTGTAAAACACAAAAGAATAAGTTAAAAATCGTTTAACAAGACAAGGTTTTTAAGAAAATTAGGGTTTCGTAAAAAACCAGTGAGAGGTAAGGAACCTGGCTGTGAAACTCGTTAATAATGATGCTCGCAGCACCATCGAACCATAAACCATCGGAGAAAGGTCGGAGACAAACCAGACAGAGCTTTCGATGACCATCTTGCATGGTGGAGGCTTCTGGAGTCTCTAAGGTAGAGGGAATCAACAAGACAAGGTTTCACGGTGGCTGGTGGTCGAGAGAAGTGAGGCTGGAGGTGGCCGGAGAGGCGGTCGATTCATCGGAGACGAAGGAGAGAACCGGAAGGTTCTAGAGAGAAGGGAGAGCAAGAGTCAGTGTAGAGAGAGAGAGAGAGAGAGAGAGACCGTCTCTGAAATGAGGGGTTTGGGGGGGGGTTGTTGAATTTAATTTGGAAATAAAACCTGGGCCGTTGATCTCATTTGATTAACGACTCACATTAGATTAAAGCTGGACCGGGTCATTAAATCGGATATGGGTCGGGTGATTTGAGGACTGGGTCGGGGGTTTTGGGGTTGAAATTGGGGGTTCAATTTGTGGTTAAAATTGGAATGTAAAGGGGTTATAATTGAAATGAACGAGGCTAAATGTTAAACAACCATTTCTTCCCTTATTATTTTAATAAAAATAGTTAAAATAGTTTTAAAAATCAATTAAAAGCACTAAATTGAGTAATAACATATAAATGTTAATTAAAAAACACTGGGAGCGATTTTGTAATTATAAAATACTATTAATCGAAAAATAGGCTATAATTGCAATTATAGCAATTTAGCTTTAAAAATACCAAATAAATTGCAAAAAATCACCTTAATTATATGTGGGTGTAAATATGAGAATAAAATAAATTATTCACCAAAAAATGATAGTCTGGAAATAATTATTGAATTTTGTACTATTAAAATAGACAACAAAGTAATTTTAAAAAATCTTTAAAATAAGGAAAAATACCAAAACTCTTGGGTATGCTTATATATGCATGTACATACTATTTTGAGAATATTTTGAGTATATATAAAAATACATAGGGAAAAATTGGGTATCAACAGCATTCACAGTCTTAGTCAACACACTCTTTATCTCCCTGTTCGAAACTTCCACTTGCCCACTCGTTTGTTGATGATATAGGGTGGCAACCTTGTGGCATACATCATACTTCTCTAACAACTTCGCGAAGGCTCAATTACAAAAGTGAGTGCCTCCGTCACTGATTATTGCCCTTGGAGTGCCAAATCGGGTGAATATGTTCTTTCTCATAAAAATCAATTACCCCCTTTGCATCATTTGTAGGGAGCGCTGCAGCCTCTACCCATTTGGACACGTAGTCCACATCGACGAGTATGTACTTGTTGCCATATGAGCTGACGAAGGGCCCCATGAAGTCGATTCCCCGTACATTAAACACTTCTACCTCCTGAATTGGGTTCATCGGCAACTCATGTCGGCGGGAAATATTCTCGGTTCGTTGGCATTCATCACAACCCTTTATCCGTAAATGTGCATCTTTGAACAATGTTGGCCAGTATAAGACCGACTCCAAGACTTTTGCAGCTGTCCTTACTCCCCCGAAATGCCCACCATATGGTGACGCTTGACATGCCTGCAAAATAGAAGACTGGTCTATCTCGGGGATAGATCTACGGATCATGTTATCAATACAAATCCTGAACAAATAAGGCCCATCCCAATAATACATGCGACAATCACGAAAGAACTTTTTCTTTTGGACAGAGGAGAGGTCATAAGGAACAATACCGCTTGCCAAGTAGTTTGTAATGTCTACATACCATGGCCGCTTCCTCAAGACTTGTGGCTAATAGTTGTTCATCTGGGAAAGTTTCCAGAATCTCTTCTACCTCAACCTTCTTCTTAGCTCCTTCCAGTCTAGACAAATGATCAACTACTTGGTTCTCCTTTCCCTTTCGGTCACGGATCTCCAAATCAAATTCTTGAGGTAGTAGCATCCATCGAATCAGGCACGGTTTTGATTCGTTCTTCTCGATTAAGTACCTGAGAACAGCATGGTCAGTATAAACAATTACCTTCGAACCTATCAGGTAGGACCTGAATTTGTCAAATGCGAACACCATTGCCAGCATCTCCTTCTCAATCACAGTGTAATTTAGATGGGCTCCACTCAGCGTTCTACTTGCGTAGTATATTGGATGCATGATTTTTATCTTTTCGCTACCCAAGAACTGCTCCCACACCATAGTCACTCACATCACACATCAGCTCAAATGGTTGCTCCCAGTCAGGGGCAACTATGATAGGTGTTGTTACCAGTCTCTTCTTCAGTTCCTCAAACGCTACCCTGTAGTCATCAGAAAACACAAAAGGGTGATCTTTTTCAAGCAATTTGCACAAGGGGTTAGCAATTTTGGAAAAACCAGCGTGCCCAAGAAAACTTCTGATTGCTTTGACGGAAGTGGGTGGTGGAAGCTTTTCTATCACATCAACATTTGCACGATCTACCTCAATGCCTTTACTTGACACTAGGTGCCCCAAGACTATACCTTCATTTACCATAAAATGGCACTTTTCCCAGTTGAGTACCAGATTTGTCTCGATACACCTCTTCAATACTCTTCTCAAGTTTATAAGGAAGTCATCGAATGACTTTCCCACCACTGAGAAGTCATCCATGAAAACCTCCATTATTTCCTCTACCATATCCGTGAAGATGGCCATCATGCACCATTGGAATGTGGTAGGTGCGTTGCATAGGCCAAACGACATTCTCCGAAAAGCATAGATTCCATAAGGGTAGGTTACCGATGTTTTCTCTCTGTCCTCTGGGGCAATAGAGATCTGATTATACCCCGAGTACCCATCCAGAAAGCAAAAGTGGGACCTCCCTGCCAATCTATCTAGCATCTGATCAATGAATGGCAGTGGGAAATGGTCTTTCCTAGTAGCCAAGTTCAACTTCCTGTAATCCATACAGATTCGCCAACCTGTGACTGTTCGTGTAGAGATCAATTCGTTCTTCTCATTTTTCACTACCGTCATACCTCCTTTTTTGGCACACACTGAACTGGGCTAACCCAGTTGCTGTCAGAGATGGGAAATATGATTCCCGCATCTAACCAGTTAATCACTTCTTTCTTCACCACTTCTTTCATATTGGGGTTCAACCTTCTTTGATGTTCTCTAGAAGGTTTGTGCCCATCTTCCAGTAAAATCTTATGCATACAGAAGGCCGGCTGATACCCTTAATGTCTGCAATGGTCCACCCAATTGCAGTCTTGCACTCCGTCAGTACCTGGAAAAGCTGTTCTGCCTGCACATCTAAAAAACTAGATGAGATAATAACAGGTAAAGTTAAGTTCGGTCCTAAGAAGGCATACCTGAGATGAGATGGCAGTGGCTTCAGTTCCAACTTTGGTGGCTCTTCTATCGATGGATTAGCTGGAGGAGTTTTTCTTTCCTCTAAGTGCAAAGCTCAAATTCGAGCTCCCTTCTCCAAAAACCTTGGCCTTCAAGAGCAAGTACCCATTCTGCCAAGTCTTCTCCATTGGCTTCATCTAAGTTCATGAGACAGGTTGCTAGATGGCCTTTAGCGTTCAATGTCTCATCTTGGTCGTCCAAAACTATATCCACGGCATCTATTAGAGAGAAATTAGCAAATTCACTTGGTCGCCGCATAGATTTCTGCACGTTGAATGTTATCTCTTCATTATTTAATCTCATTTTGAGCTCTCCAGTTTCACAATCAATTAAAGCTCTCCCAGTGGCCAAGAATGGTCTTCCCAAAATTATGGGAATTTCCTCGTCAACCAGACAGTCAAGAATGACAAAATCTGCTGGGAACACAAACTTCCCAACCTGTACTAATACATCATCAAGAATACCAGAGGGCCTCTTCACTGTCCGGTCAGCCAGCTGTAGTAACATGGACGTGGGTCTAGCTCTCTCAATGCCTACCCTTTTGTAGATAGCTAGGGGCATAAGGTTTATGCTTGGCCCCAGATCATACAGGGCCTTAGCAAATGCATTGTTGCCTATTGTGCATGGGATTGTGAAACTCCCTGGGTCAGACAGCTTTTTAGCTATGGGTCTCGTCACAACAGCACTGCAGGTCTGAGTCAGTGTAACCGTGGCCAAGTCTTAAAAGTCGAACTTGCGGGACATCAAGTCCTTCATCATTTTCGCATAACCAGGCATCTCCTTTAAAGCATCAATCAATGGAATGTTTACCTGAATTTGCTTCTACATCTCCAAGAATTTCTTGTACTGCTTATCTTTCTGATACTTGGCCAATCTTTATGGGAATGGTGTTGGAGGTCGCATCTTCCCTGTGATTTGATTTTTTTTCTTGTTCAGGCACTGCTTCTACTATCAGTTCCTGTGCAACCTCAGTCTCTTTCATAACCTCTTTTTCTTTGTTGGCGTTCTCTTGTGCATGCTGTACCGTCACCTCAGTTAACCCTGCTGAATCATCTACCTCAATGGGTATCGGCACCAGTGTCTCAGTAGGTCTACTTTTGCTAGCAATTTCTTGCTCCAGATCTAGGTCTCTACCATTTCGGAGACTCACTGCCATAAGCTGTTTCGGGCCCTGCTCTTTTGGATTGATTTGTGTGTCTGCAGGTAACTTCCCGTGGGGACGATTATTTAAAGCCATCGAAATATGTCCTAATTGGATCTCAATATTCTTTATCGCTGACTCATGTGAGTCTACTCTTTCAGTTAGTTTTCCGGTAGACCCAATCACTTGTTGCATCATTCCCTCAAGTTTAGCAAACCCATCTTCGTGTCTCACAGTCTGTTGTTGTTGAGGTTGTAGATAAGCCTGTTATTGATTGTGATGACCCAAAAGGTCATCACTTGTTTTGAAAATGAATTCTGCATTCCGATGCCTTAAAATCCTCTTTTAGCTTCATCCCTATTTGCGTGCGTAGTCCGTACATGTAGCCGGAAAGCCAATATGTGAAAGATCTGTGAAAAATGATAAATTTTGATTATAAAATGAATTAATTTGACTTCGGTCAACATTTTGGGCAAACGGACTCAGACCCATGATTTGACGGTCCCGGAGGGTCCGTAGGAAAATATGGGACTTGGGCATATGCTCGGAATCGAATTCCGAGGTCCCAAGCCCAAGAAATAAATTTTTAAAGAAAATTGTTTTCTGAAATTGTTTATGAGGTTTGGAAATGAATTTTGATTAGAACATGTTGGTATCGGGCCCGTATTTTGGTTCCGGCGCCCGGTACAAGTCTTATATATGATTTAAGGTAATTCTGTGAAGTTTGGTAAGAAACAGAATCCGTTTGATGTGATTCGGACCTTAAATGCAAATTTGATGTTTAAAGAAGTTTTGAGAAATTTCATTGACTTTGAGGTTTAATTAGATGTTCATGATGTTATCTTGGTGATTTGGTTATACGAATAAGTCCGTAGGATGTTTTCGACGTTGTGTGTATGTTTGGTTTGGAGTTCTGAGGGTTCGGGTGAGTTTCGGGTAGGTTCCGGGATGTCTTAGGCTTAAAAGCACAATTGTTGCAGGTTCAGAGAAGTTGCTGGTCTCTGAACCCGCCAGTGCGGTCCGCACAAAATCGTGTGCGACCGCGGTGGGGGCTGTGCGGCCGCACTCCATTTTGTGCGGTCCGCACAGGTCCTCAGGGAGAGCTGTGCGATCGCACTCCATTTTTGTGCTGTCCGCACAGTATCACAGATCTTCAGGTTCACCGGGCTGTGCGACCGCAGTCGGTTTTGTGCGGTCCGCACAGGGGGCCTGAGAGGGGTATAAATAGACGGGATTTTCAGTCATTAGTCATTTTCTTCATTTTTCAAAACCCCCAAAAACATAAGAGGCAATTTTTCAACCAACCTTTCTTCTCCAAAACATTTGTAAGTAATTTCTAACTCATTTTCTTTACTCCTTAACTTCTTTTTACAAGATTCTCCTAGAATCTAAGGTTTTCATGGTGGAATTGAGAATTTTGGGTAGAACCTAGGTTTTTCAAAAATTGGGGATTTGGACCTCAATTTGGGGTCCGATTTCAAAACAAATTATATATTTGAGTTCGTAGGGGAATGGGTAAACGGGTTTTGATTCGAACTTCAAGTTTTGACCATGTGGGCTCGGGGGCGATTTTTGACTTTTTGGGTAAACTTTGGAAAACTTATTCTCATGTATTAGGGTTGATTCAATAAGCGTTTATTGATGTAATTAAGTAACTTGTGACTAGATACGAACGAATTGGTGGTGGAATCGAGGGGTAAAGCTATAGTTGAAGCGTGAATTGTGTTCGTGGCATCGAGGTAAGTGTTTGGTCTAACCTTAGCTTGAGGGATTAAGAGTCGAGTCCTATTTGCTATGTGGTAAATGTTGAGTACGACGTATAGGCGTGGTGACGAGTATCTATACGTTGGTGTCTAGCATGCCCGTGGGTCTTATATTGTGATTATCATGACTTCGTTGTAGTTTATTCAGGCCTTGGTGATGATTTCTATATGTTGTGTATAGTTTGTGGAAGGAATTGTGACCTATGAGCATTGAGGAGCGTTGGCTCGAGTTGTATAACGAATTGTGAAAGTGTAAGTGATAATTGAACCTTTAGAGCATTGGCTCAGGTTGTGAAGTGAATTGTGAAGTAAAAGTGAGAAAGAGAAGAGATCATTATGTTGCCCCCTTGCCGGGCTATTGTTGCTTTAAGTTGTTATTTCCCTTGCCGGGATTTAGTTGTTGTTTTGACGTTGTCCCTTGCCGGGACTTGTTGTGGAATTGTTGTTCCCTTGCCGGGATTATTATTGAAATTTCATTATTTTCCCTTGCCCTATTATTTGTGATTGTTGTTTGGGTGAGGAAAGAGAGTTAAAGCACGAAGGGTGATGCCGTGCATTGTTTTTGTGAGGAAAGAGTGTAAAGCACGAAGGGTGATGCTGTGTATGATTGTGAGGAAAGAGTGTAAGGCACGAAGGGTGATGCGGTGACGCACGATGTACCATTCCGTGCCGATTATATTGATTATATGGTGAGGAAAGAGAGCAAAAGCATGAAGGGTGATGCCGTGCACGTTTTCATTACTTGATTGTTTTGGTGAGGACGAGAGTAAAAGCACGAAGGGTGATGCCATGAATTTATTGATTTCTGGTTCTTTATTGAAATCTGAGATATATTGCTTCTTACATTTACCTGTTGTCTTTCTATTCGGAATTGATATTCCCCCGCAGCATGCTCTCCCTCCTATCTTTACTTGTTTATTTCTGCTTTACTTTCCGCTGTATATTATATAACTGCACAGGTTTATTTGGTAGTCTGGTCCTAGCCTCGTTACTACTTCGCCGAGGTTAGGCTAGGCACTTACCAACACATGGGGTCGGTTGTGTTGATACTACACTCTGCACTCTTTTGTGCAGATCCCAGTGCTGTTGATTTTGGACCGTAGATTGAGTGACTACCTTCAGCCCATGGAGATCCAAGGTAGACCTACAGGCGTCCGCAGGCCCTGGCGTCTCCTCTATCCTTTACTTCCTATTTCATTTCTTTATTTCAGAAACAGTGTATCTTTTGTTTCAGACTTTGTATTTAGCACTCTTAGATCGTCTGTGGTACTGTGACACCAGTTCTAGGTGATTAAGGCTTAAGTATTTCTAATAGATATAGTTTTCATATATGTTATCGTTGTCTTCCATTTAAATTTGACATTTCCACTGTTTTCACATTATTGCTTTAGAAATGTTAAAAAGGTGTAAAAATGGATTAAGGTAAACTGTTCAATAGTTGGCTTGCCTAGCTCACATTAGTAGGCGCCATCATGACTCCCGAGGGTGGGAAATCCGAGTCGTGACACTGATTTTGCTGGTTGTAACCCTGTTGCCTTTGGTAAGGCACCACTTGACCCAATGGTCGCATAGCCCCAAGATTGTTGCTATTGTTGTACTGCTGCGGAGCTGGTCTATATTGTTGATTCTGCTGACCCCAATTCTGACCACCTTGCCTCTGTCCCCCATAGTTGGCCACATAATTTATGTTCTCCTGATATTGTTGGTTATCACCTTCCGCACTCTACGAGCAAACATATGGTTGATTAGTGCATGATATATATAAGCCCCCATTAGTTGCATCAACTATGTGTACCTGCTGCTTCTGGCCTGATTCATCAACCTTTTTGGTGATGATGCTCATTTGTGTCACTAGAGTGGCCATATTTTCATCTATGGAGTTAGTTGGGTCTAAAGCCACTGAGTGAACTACAGGAGTGATTGGAGCATTTCTTGTCGTCCATCCTGAGTTTTATGCCATCTTGTCAAGTAGGATCTTACTTTCTCTGAATGTTTTGCTAAAAAACGCTCCACCTGCTGAAGCATCAACATTGGCCTTCAAGCTATCTGCCAAACCCATGTAAAACCTCTGCCCCAACATCTGCTCCGGAATACCATGATGTGGACATGTAACCAGCACACCCTTGAACCTATCCCACGTTTCTTGTAATGTCTCTGTTGGTTCCTGTCTGAAGCTCAATATCTCATCAATTTGTTGAGCGGTCTTATTAGGTGGGTGAAATTTGTTCACGAATTGCTTGACTAATTCCTCCCAAGTGGTGATGGAGTTTATGGGGAGTGAATTAAGCCAAGTTTGAGCCGCTCCCGTCACTGAGAATGGAAACAAAAACAGTCGTATTGCTTCCGTTCTCACGTTATGTTGCCTCTGCGTGGCACAGATCGACAGGAAATTCTTCAGATGCTGCTGAGGATCTTTAACGTAAGACCCTGAGAACAGTCCCTCATTCTGCAACAAATGTAGCACGTTATTTGAGATTTGGAATGATTCTGCTTGTATTTGAGGGACTTCAATTGCAGTTGCTAAGTTGTCAGCGGTGGGTAGTGCCCAATCGTACAATGCCGCTTCTGGCACAAGCGGCACCACACCCTGATTGTTCGGGTCATTCCCATTATTATGGTTGTTTACTTCGTCTCCCATGTCTGGTTCGATTTGTTCTGTTGAGTTCAGTTGTTGTTTGCCTTTCTTGTTTGCACGATTCAATGCCTTGAAAACTTTCTCAGGATCTGATAATGCTTCAAACAATTCACCAGTTCTTGTGGAGTTTCTAGGCATGCACCTGTAACACCCAAGACTACAAACGTTAGAATTTCAATGTAATCAGTTTAAATTGAAGAAAATTGACTACACTAAGAATTTTTGCACTTCTTTTAACTGCAATTAATAACACAGTTAATTCCCCAGCAACGGTGCCAAAATTTGATCACGCCCAACTATGCCTTATAAAAAGGACAAAGCGGTCGCTGCAAATATATTCCGGTTAACAAGTTCGGAGTCAAATCCCACAGGGAATTAACCTATCAATCACAACTATTGGACTTACACAAATTCACGTATTCAATCTTCGAAGATATTTAAGTAATAGATTGGATGTTTACTGACTAAATATTACGTAATGAAAATGCAATAATTGAAAACTAACTACTAACGGGTTGTAGACAAGAATTGGAATGATCTAAGGTTCTGATTTCCCCTATTGTTGGAATCTTTTACACTACGTTTGCTATAAATTTGCCTAAGTCTTCTCTATCAATCATGAGCACTCTAACTGTCGTAACTCTCTCCCGAGTAATTACAACAATATACTACACATATTCTCCCGAAATACGCTAGCCAGCCTTAAGTACAACTCACTTAGATCGCACCCAAGATTTCGTTATCCCTAATCCCACCTATAAACCCTTCGTATTGATCCCTCATATACGTTAAGAGTGATGTTGTTCAACAACTACCTAAATATACACTCTCTCCCGAGTAATGCACACTAAATAGGAACAGTTAATTCAGGGCCCTTCAATCAACGACAATAAGCATATAGTTGAACAAATAGAGAGAATACTATGACAAATTTATATTAACGTAACGAGGAAATTATCCTTCCACAGGTTCCATCAAAACCCTAGATTATGAGTTTAGATACTCATACTCATAGCAACAATATCTAAAGTAATGTGCATAATTAAATTACAGAGTAAAGATAAAAGGATGTAGAAATCAATTATTCGAACTCCCAAGTAGTTTTCCACGAGCTATTCTTGCCTCCGGGTGCAAAAGTCCTTCAAAGTGCCGTTTTTGGGTCTATTTATATGTTTGGGACAAGCCCTAATCGTGTAGGTCAACTCCTAGTCAAGCCGGGAAATTATTTAAGCCTTCAAAACTCGGATTGGACCTAGCCTTAGGCCTGGTGTCGCCAGGCTAACGTCAGTCTCAGCCTGGCTTTAAGGTGGTGTTGCCAGGCTAACGCCTGGCTAGGCCTGGATTTAAGATGGCGCCGCCAGGCTAACGCCTGGTTGGGCCTGGCTTTAAGCTGGCCTCACCAGGCAAAAGCCTGGTCGAGTTGGCTTTGGCCTGGCTTCTCCTTTTCACCGTTCTCGAGCGCACTTTCGACGTTTAAGCATCCCTTTAGCTCTACTTTCATTTCCAATGCACCTACACATAAAATAGACTCCATTACGCTAAAACAAAGTGTAGTTTAACATTAAAGCATGTAAAACGCAAGGCATATATTGTGCTAAATCATGAATTATAGCCACACATCAGTAACTCACATTATGTGTACCGGTTATTTTAATTTTTATTATACAATACCTTTCTCAAAATGCTTCTCTTGCTAGTGTACATAGAAATATATATTACGAGGAGAATATAAGATGTATCTTTTATATATATATATATATGTATATATATTGTCGATCGACTCTATAAATTCTTATAAAGTTTCTGGCCATTTGCATATTCCTTCTTACACGTGTTTTGCATGTTGTACATATGTGTACTTTCAATTTTTAATTCTTGCTATCTGTATTTTTCTCTATTTCTCTTTCACACTAATAACATCTTTGTCGTTTCTCTTGCTAGTATTCATCAGAAACGTGGTACGAGCAATACATAGGATGTGTGTCACGATCCAAAATCCACTAAGGGTCGTGATGGTGCCGGACACCACTGTCAGGAAAACCAACACCAAGAAGTTAATTAAATTTCTATATTAGTATTTATTGAAATAATTTCCTTTATGCATTAAACAATAAATAATGAAATGCACTGAGATAAAATGATGTCTTTACCAAACTTTATATTGAATAATCCCATAATCATCCCAGAACTCGGTGTCGCAAGTGCATGAGCTAATTCTAGGAAATCAAATGAAGTACAATAACTGTCCGGACTACAAATTGGACAGAAGGTAAATACTGTACACTGAATTAGACTATGCCGGTTGCGGGTCGCCTCGAGAGATACAACACACCTAAGTCTCTGTATGATCCATGCTGCTACACCCATTAGGCCGCTAGAGGTACATGTGCCTGTGCAACAAAAATGCACAGCAAGTTGTGATGATCCAAACAATCATCACTTGTTTTAAATTAAATTCTATGACCCCGAGGCCTTGAAAACCTCATTTAGAGTTGCCTCGATTTGCGTGCACAGTTCGGGCACGTAGCCGGAAAGATTAGATATGAAATTCTGTGAAAAATATTAAGTTTTGATGTTAAAATGAATAAATTTGATCTTGGTCAACGTTTTGGGTAAACGGACCCGGACCTATGATTTGACGGTCCCGGAGGGTCCGTAGGAAAATATGGGACTTGGGCGTATGCCCGGAATCGAATTCCGAGGTCCCAAGCCCGAGAAATGATTTTTTTTGTAAAATTGTTTTCTAAAATTGTTTAAGGAAATTTGAAATGAAAATCGATTAGAACGTGTTGGTATCGGGCCCGTATTTTGGTTCCGGCGCCCGGTACAGGTCTTATATATGGTTTAAGATGTTTTTGTGAAATTTGGTGAAAAACGAACGTCGTTTGAGGTGATTCGGACCTAAACTGGAAAATTTGATGTTTTATGAAGTTTGAAAGAATTCATGGATTTGGGGTTTAATTCGATGTTTATGATGTTATTTTGGCAATTTGATCGCAAGAATAAGTCCGCAGGATGTTTTTGAGGTTGTGTGTATATTTGGTTTGGAGCCCCGAGGGCTCGGGTGAGTTTTGGTTAAGCCACGGGTGCATTTTTGAACTTTGAAAAATAGTTGGTGTGTTCTGATCTGCAGGCTTCGCATTTGCGAAGCCAGTCTCGCAAATGCGAACCCTGTTTCGCAATTCCCACATCAGCAGGCCGGGGTTCGCAATCGCATTTCCCATATCTAAGACCTGCATTTTTCTATACTTAGCCGATTATAAGTCATTTTTCACATCTTTTTCAAAACACAACTCCTTTGGGCGATTCTCCAAGAACAAGTCTTCTTCCAAATCAATTGTAAGTTAGTTTTTACTCATTTCTTTCAATCATTAACATCTTTAAACCTGATTTCAACCTAAAATCAAAGATTTTCATGGGGGAAATTGGGTAGAACCTAAGTTTTTCAAAAATTGAGGATTTGGACCTCAATTTGAAAAAAAATTATATATTTGAGTTCGTGGGGGAATGGATAATCGGGTTTTGGTTCGAACCTCGGGTTTTGACCACGTGGGCCCGGGAGTGATTTCTGACTTTTTGGGTAAAACTTTGGAAAACTAATTTTCATGCATTGGGGTTGATTCATTTAGCACTTATTGATGTAATTAAGTAATTTGTGATTAGATACGAGCGAATTGGCGGTGGAATCAAGGGGTAAAGCTATAATTGAGACTTGAGTTGTGTTCAAGGCATCGAGGTAAGTGTTTGGTCTAACCTTAGCTTGAGGGATTAGGAGTTGAGTCCTATTTGCTATGTGATAATTGTTGAGTACGACGTATAGGCATGGTGATGAGTATCTATACGTTGGTGTCAAGTATGACCGTGTGTCTTATATTGTGATTTTCATGATTTCGTTGTATTCTTCATGCTTTGGTGATGATTTCTAGTTGTTGTGAAAAGTTTGTGGAAGGAATTGAGACCTTTGAACATTTCGGAGCATTGGCTCGAGTCATATTATGAATTGTGAAAGTATATGAGATGATTGAACCCTTTGGAGCATTGGCTCAAGTGGTAAAGTGAGTTATGAAGTATAAGTGCAAGATAGAGAAAGAGTTATTGAAATGTTCCCTTGCCGGGATTAAATTATTTAATTGTTGTTCCCTTGCCGGGATTTAATTATTTACTTGTTGCTCCTTTGCCGGGATTTAATTGTTAAATCGTTGTTCCCTTGCCGGCATTCCTATATGTTCTTGTTTATTTCCCTTGCCCTTGTTTGTGATTGTTGTTTGGGTGAGGAAGAGTGTTAAAGCACGAAGGTGATGCCGTGCATTGTTTGCTATTGTGAGGAAAGAGTGTAAAGCACGAAGGGTGATGACGTGCCGCACGATGTACCATTCTGTGCCAATTCTATTGATTATATGTGAGCAAAGAGAGCAAAAGCACAAAGGGTGATGCCGTGCACATTTTATTATTCTAATTGCTTTGGTGAGGAAAGATAGTAAAAGCACGAAGGGTGATGCCGTGCACGTTTTCATTATATTATTGCTTGGTGAGGACGAGAGTAAAAGCACGAAGGGTGATGCCGTGCACTTGTCTTTGGTTTTCCTGATTCTTGCTGATAATTGAGTTATGTTGTCCTTTACTTTTATTTACTAATTTTCTTGTTGTTATCGGTTCAAGTGCATTAATTGTCTTATTCCACTATTACTGTGATTCTTTATGTTGGCATTTTCCTTTATTGTGTTACTTGTTATTATTGGCTCGAGGTATCCTTGCGCAACATTATGCCTTGAATTTATGCTATAATTGCTACATGTTTATGTGACTTAATTGCTACTTGACATTTAGCATACTAAATATTAAATTGCCTATTTGCTCCTTAAAGTCCATAATTAATTGCTACTTGTCATTACTTGTTTTCCTCAATGATTCATAATTATTGTGTACTTGTTGTCTTATGAATTCGTATTAATTGTTGCGTTTGTTGGAGTAAATTTCATTTGGAAGAACTGTTGATTTATTGA